AACTGTGACTATGGATAGACTGCTAATCACAACAGTCACTGCTGGGCATTCGCATATTTTTTATTTATTTTTTATTTTTGCAGTAGAAATAATAGTTACAAACTGGCTCCTGGTACCCCAACGGCATTCCTCGAGCTAATTGACTTGTCTAACAATTAGGGTAGTTGCTAAGCATTGCACATTTTTTAGTTAATGGTTACAAGAGAAAGTGACATGCATGTGTTATCTTCTGTTTACAATTTGCTTGCTTAAATGTGAGAGAGATAACTTCCTCCCCCCCCAGTACCCCCATAGCCACTCCTGGATGAAGATAGTGCGGCTGGTGCATTATGACAGGTGTTATTCAATATTGCATTACTGTACTAAGACTAGTATGGTCTTTGGGTGTCGAAAGTCCCTCTGTGGGCTCAACATATTCCCGCTGTTATTCGGCGGTCTACCTGCGTTGCGGCTCCCGCGGGGTTGATTGACATGCGCTTCACGACAGTCCGGGGGCAATATGCGGCATCCAGCTCGATGTACTTGGGTCTCGGTGCGTTTGGTGAGTAGCGTGTCGCGGATTGAGGGCTGCTGTGTGAGTGGTGGCTGGTTGTGCCCTTATCGCTGCTGCCGGTTGCTGGTCCATCTCCCGAATGGAGCCGAGAGCCAGAGGCGGTCTCCAGAGGTTTAGGTCCCCGTTTAGGTGTTAGTATGAGTGCGTGCTGCCGGGCTTTGTGGTTGTCGGACCAGGTGGTGCTTCTGGTCCGCGTTGGTTGCAGTGGATGTGGAGGGGCAGCTCTCATGCACGCCGTTCTTGTTGTTGTTGTTGTGCACGGCCTCCGCCATCTTAGATTCATTGGGTTGCGTATCAGTTTGACCGTGCTGCTAGGCTTTAGTCTGTCTCTGTTGTAGCAGCTGGGGCACCGGGGTGAGGACCGTAATCACCTCCGCCGGCCTGGTGGGGGGGGGGGGGAAACAGAGCCGGTTCCTCAAGGGTCTGGGCCCCTGGCTGGACACTGTTAGGCAGGTCCTCCGCTCCACTTACTGCCGGAGTAGGCCTCAACTTTGGCATTGACAAATTCTTCCCCAGGGGACTAATACTCACCCTGGGTCCAGTGCACCCTGCCCAAGCCAGCCTCACCCTGGGTCCAGTGCACCCTGCCCATCGAGGGCCGCTGTTCCCGTTCGGCATATTGGGCAGAAATCGTAGTTTTGTGGCTGAATGGTTTAGGTTTTGCTGGATTTGGTCTGTCTTGCGACCGTCCGGCTTGGCAGTCCGCACCCTGCCCCCCGGGCATTCACATATTATAAATGCAAATATATATATATTTTTAAGCATAATGTAAGCATGCACTTTTTATGCTATTTATATTAAATAAAAGTTTGAGTTTATTGTAAAGAAGAAACACTACCAGGTCAAAGTACAAGAGTGTTAAGTACAAATATAACAATATGCCCATAGCTAAATATGTAGTATCCGGTTACAGTACCTATGCATGCTTCATATATATATATATGTATATTTTATTTTTTGTAATATTGTATCCTATTGTATCAATGCAATGTTTTGTGGACCCAGGACATACTTGAAAACGAGAGAATCTCAATGTATCCATCCTGGTAAAACACTTCACTCCACGAGCTCCAAACTCACGAATCGCCAATAGTAGCCGAACGCGTATATCTCCCAAGCGGCTAATAATTCCATCCAGCAGTCTCTAGTCGTCGGTAATAAATCCCCCCAATAACGAGACCAAGCTCCGCATTGACGGTAAAAAAAGAACTGGCTTTACTGTGGGCTACCTGCCCGTATTTATGCAGGTCTCCCACTTGGTGGACACTCCCCTAGGGGACCAAATGGGAGACTGTAACAACAGACAGACATATGGCAAGTCAGGATCCACAGACACAGAATATTCCCAGCATGCATTAGTATTTCCTCCCCTCTGCCCTGGAGATAATTGAGAAGTAATTCAATTATCTCCAGGACAAGGACAAATCGCCATTTTAAATACAATATAGAAATATATAACTTGGCTTCTGTCGAATGCTACCCATTCGTATCACATATCCCCAGATAGCCTGGATCTGAGTGCACATTATTGGCGAATAGCGCTCAGATCCCATACGCATAGTTCAATCGCCATGGAGTCAAAGTCTATCACAGTCCTTCGGTATGCGATTGACTCCATGGGAAGGCTATCTGGGGTAAGTCCATTCGTATGTTTAAACCTCCCGAACGGCCGGTGTTCGCATACTTCTGTCGATTGAGAAGGGGAGGTCGACGGCTTCAGCGGTGTTCGGCAGAAAGGGTGTCCGTTTTCAGTTCCATGAAAAATATATGCCAAACACCGCTGGTCTTTCGCATGTTTTAAAATGCCCACCGCCTCGTGGTCGACATACGAACGACAACCACCTGGTATTCGGTTCTTAATTGAGAAGTGTCTGCAGTTAACCACAACGTTCTTATTGGGATCAATAGGTTAACCAGCAGCACACTTCTCTTCTGGGTGGCCGTCCATTCGGTAGTTTCATTCGGCGGAAAAAGTCAATTCACTAAACAGAGGCATACGAACGGGTAATTCCACGAAAAGGCAAAAACAGGCAAACAGAGGCAAACAGATGAATCCAGCAACCAGTCTCTACACAGATGGATCTGTCACATGGGGTATTGCAGTTGTGCTCAAAAGTTACATTTTTGTAGGAACATGGAACATATTTACTTTTTTTAGGAGCATGGAGTCTAGATTGGAGATCCTATTTTGTTGGAGGAGTATTTATCATTTTCTACACAACTGAGACAAGTAGTCCGAGTATATTAGCAGGGTTTGCAATGACTGTTAGCTGTCTAACAAGGTTACACATGCCAGAAGAAGCACCCTGGGCTGTGTACACAATGGCTAAACGCAAACAAAACATTTTCTTTGTATTCCACCAGCTAAGAATGAATTAGAACACATTTAAAAAATTCCATAGTGTGTGTCTGTTTAGCCTAACACACGTTCTCTGACTTTGATTTAATTTTTTTTTTTTTTTGCTGTTCAAAGGATTGACATACCTGCCTACAATGCCACAACAGCATTTATCAGCATTTCAACAAAGATAAGAGTATGACGTGAGTGAAACTGAGTGAAAATTTTTTAGTATCATGGATAATTTTTTTTTTTAAATATATATATTCTTTATTTTTGTTGTGCATATAGGATACATGCAAGCTGACATCGCCACAACAGCAAATACCAGCAAATCATCGGTAACAGTATTGTGGCACAAAATTAAAAAAGCACAATTTTTCTTTTACAACCAAGCTTGCAAGAAACAAGTATCAGTGTGTAGACCAGTAATTAACACGACAGAAAACTAGCACATTTTTGAATAATGCAAGAGAGCAGAACACGTTGTATACTGCAGGTTAGGTGTATATCCCGTATATGCCATGTAGGCTAAGTAGGCCAAGACAGGTATTCTGCCATGCAGATTAACATTAATGCGATTAAACATACATGTGTCTTGCGAGTATTAGTCAGGCTGGGCTAACTTATCTGAGCAGGCAGCCTTTACAAAACGCATATAGTGCATAAGTGCTAGACTGAACTATCTGACAAAAAGAGGGTTAACAACTATTCATGCACAAGATTAAAACAATAAAATAAAGAATAGTGTGGATAACCCTTTTCCTCTTGCCCTGAGCCAATACGGAGACCGGCATCTCTAACCCACAGACTCGGTGGCTCACTGAGTACAAGTCCCTCCCATAAACGGGACAGCCAAAGGTCCTGGTCTTGTTGCGGACTTGCTTCCGCTGCCGTGGGTTATGCTTCGGGATCATGCCCCTAGTGGTCTTCAGCCCTGGTGGGTGTATGTCGAATTAAACTACTGCCTGTATGGATATTGTACCCAGAGGGGGCCTCCTCAGTCCATGTTGTCCGTTATCCAGGGTACCTATGTTTAATTTTAGAACCGGGCTGTCAGTGTGTGTATGCTTTACCCAGCACTTTCCTCTGCTTACGTTCTGTTGATGTCACAGCTGGGCCTCTCATAGCCAACCCCAGCTCATGTAGTTACTGGATGTGTCGGTCTGGGCCATACCTGTCATGGTAGGCTTCTCCATCCGCTCATATAGTGCCTGCCAGAATCGTGTAAACGCTTGGGCAATATGCTCCTCGCATTGGACCCCATACTTGTGGGAGTGCAGTGTTGCAAGCTCCTCTTCGGTGGCCATCTTGGAGGGCACATGTTGCAGGTTCAGCTTTGTGGGATCTATCAATTTGATGGCTGTGGATAGCTCGGTACTCGAGGTGGGACCAGGATATCTCACATCGATTCCTCCTGTCGCCAGGCATACTAGGCCTCAAAGCCAAGTTGATGTGAAAACCTGTCAGATGTTACTCATCTAGGTATAATTCAGTACCAGCAGTTTTATGGATGGTATGTTGTCACTAGTGTGTTTTTTTTCCTTTTATATTTTTATATGAACCAAATCCCCCAAAAGTTGAACAAGTTGGTAAGTGTCCTTTTGTAATTTACTACTACCGCTGCACTTGCACATTAGCACTGTATGGGGACATATAATCTAAACACTGAAGTAATTGTTTGTTTTTAATGATTGTTCATGTGTAGTTAAGGAGTATCCACAGAGTGCTACAGCTGCTTGCACTAAATATTATATATAGATCTTACAATCACCGTTTATTCACGTGCACACAAAGACCTTTTTTCTTTTTATTGAAATCAGAGAGTCACATCCGTCCTCAGAGTCACAGCCCCAGTCCTGCAGTTTGAAGCT